TAGCGGGACACAAAAGGAATTATCCATGCAGCATTTTAGCATATAGAGTCACCTTGTTTAAATGTTAAAATTAAAATGGCTTCATAGGACTCATATAATGCATTCACTAATTAATGAGAAATAACTAAACTCACAAAGTATGCTTTAAAATGTAAAACTAGCAGCTCCCTTTTCTCACTGTTTTTGTGTTCCAATTAGTTGTTAGACTTTCTAAGTCATTTCCTCTTCCTTTAGTCACGCAGCTAAATCTGGGGCAAAAAAGTGAAGCAGTGAAACAACTGCAGTTTATTAAATGACCACTTGAGGTTGTTTCCAAATGTCAGTCAATGTCCATATACTCCCAACCATAATTTATAAAATAAACATCATGTTGTTTTCAACAATCTAATGCAGCTGTTTTTAGAGGTAGACAAAGTGGGTGGTTCTATGGTGGCTTTGTCCATCTTTAATGTACAGTCTCTGGTTTTAGCCTGTTAATGTGACCAGACATATCCGAAACAAGTATTTTGTTGTTTGCTATTGCCTACTTTAAATCTTAAGAGAAGTATGCTATATTTCACCTAATACTCAAAAAAGACTTCCTTGATGGTATATACATTTACTATAGCTTAAAATATTAATTACTACACATAATATAAACAAACAAAACAAACTTGTTTAATTCCGTAACAGCTTCTTGTTTTGGGGACTCTTATTCACGATGAACTGCACCGGAAGAACTACATTACCCACAGCAAGACGCCTTCCTCTAAAGCACACATGCGCAGTCGGTCGTTCTACTCTGGACAGCTGTAGGAGAAAATGGCAGCATTCATGCTAGGACAGCAGGTATGACATTCAGTTATCTCTTTTAAATTTTAACCTTTATAATAGGGCTCAGTTTTGTTTTCATATCTTCCAAAACTTCTTTGGTGAGTTTTATTAATTATGCTGAGCAGAAATGAGCGCTGAACTTTCAAAAAGAATTCACACGAGGCATTGCACTTGAATGACTGCTAATGTGTTAGCCAACCAGCTAACTGAGTTAAACGTAAACGGTGCAAAGCGGGCTAATAATTCATCAGCTCAGGCTTTAATTTTCATACAAATATTATTTTGCAGGCACGCCAGTTCAGCACGTCTGTGATCAGACCTGCAGCCAAACTGGTTAAGGTGAGTGACGTGCAGTGCAATAACCTTCTTCAGTAATTTGTGACAGGGTGTTAAGGTACCTTATCCCTGTAAATGTCCTTGTAGCCTCCCATCCAGGTGTATGGAGTGGAGGGCCGTTATGCCACTGCTCTGTTCTCAGCTGCCAGTAAGCAGAACAAACTGGACCAAGTGGAGCAGGAGCTGGGAAAAGTGTCTGTAAGTCAACAAAAAAGGAAACTATTTTTAATGTTGCTGCCACTGAATGATGAAAATGATGCTTTACTTAATATTTGATCACAGGGTTATGTGCATATTACTGTGATATATTTAAATAACATCGCAGGATGTTTAAATATATTGTTTGGTTTTTAATTAATAATGAGATTAGTGACCTGATTATTAAATATTGATAATCCAAGCAGTTTCGGTACCATCTACCTTTCGTCTAATACTTACTTACTTACTTTTTTTTTTTTGCTGTTACATTATTTTTCAGGCCCTGATCAAGGACCCTAAAATGAACAGTGTTGTAATGAATCCTCATGTGAAGCGCAGCCTCAAGCAGAAGACCTTCAACGATGCCCTTGCAAAGGCCAAGGTTTCACCCATCACTGTCAACCTCATCAGTGAGTGATCACAGACCCGTGTTACTGCTGGGACCCCTGTGTCATTAATCGTGTGTGTTTGTGGTGTGGTGTGTACACATGCAATACATTTGAACCTAGTTTTGTTACATTTTCAAAGACAACAGTCCACTAGCACGTTCCAGATATGATGTTACCAAGGTCGCAAAGTAAGGAACATGCTGTTGCAAGTAGTCGTGTGATGGTTTGAGCACTTATACATGCAGGTCCTTGAGATTTCACATGGTTCATTATTCTTAATGCCCAATTGGGCATATTTGGTTTGAATATTGTTTAGGAACCTCTTTCTGATCAAAACATAAAGAAAGCCATCTTGTTAAGCTTAGTATCGGTCTGAAGCCTAAAGGGTGTTTTCTTTGCATAGCTCTATTCGACCCTATTTGAACACTCTAACAAGGCTTCCTTACTACAATCCTCATTCGTACATTAATTCAATTGCATATTACAGATCTGCTGTTGCAACCCCCTTGGAGAAAAAAACAGAGCAGCTAGAAGTATGTTGATTATAAGAAAATAACATGTATATGAAAATACTTTGACACAACAGCCATAAGGTTTGGACCACATTCACAAGCTGTGTTTTATGGGGTCTACGGACCAGCTGCTCTTGAACATTCCTAGATCCAGGCTTAAAAGAGAAGAGGCAGCAGAACCTTTTCAGGTGCAGCTCCTAATCTGTGAAACAATCTACCTTTTCACATAAGAGCTGCCCAGACGCTCCATCATTTTAAAACGCTGATGAAAAAGAAACTGGTTATTCTCACTGGTTTACAGTCTAAGTTGAGCAGGTTTTCCCAGGTTTTTATTGTGCAAATTTTACTCTGTATTCCTATTTACTTATATGACAGTTTGATTATTTTTTTCCTCCTTTAATCGAGGTTTATGGTTGTATTGTGTATTTTGGTGTATGTTTGTTGTTGATTTTGTGACTATTATGTCTATGTTGCATAGCCTGTGCAGCACTTATTCAACTGAGGCTACGTCCACACTAATGCGTTTTCATTTGAAAACGCTTCGTTTTCTCTCCGTTTTGGCCTCCTGTCCACACTGGGATGGCGCTTTCCCAAGGGAAAACGCAGCGTTTTGAAAACGCATACATTTCAAAATGGAGCTGTCCCGTCGCAGTGTGGACATTCAAAAACGCAGACTTTCTAAAACGATGATGCATTTTAGTCATGTGATGCAGTCATGTGACCAATTAAACAAAGATAGCAGAGGGCATTATACAGCAGTTGTTTTGATTGCTCTCAATTTTGACAGCCCTAAAAAAAGATTAATATCAGTTTGTACATGCTCCAGATAGCTTTTCTTCAAATTCTTTAATCCTCACTTGCTTTTGCGCATGCGCAGGACTGGAACGTAAGCGTTTTCGGCCGTTTCAACGTGGACACACAACTCTGTGAAAACGACTGAAGACGCTAGTGTGGATGCGGAGCGTTTATAGACGAAAACGCCGTTTTCATATCTATCCGGGCTAGTGTGGACGTAGCCTGAGTTGTGTTAATGTGCTATAGATGTAAACTTTGATTTGATTAAGGGTAAATGAGTGTTACTAGGAAGAACTTGGCAAAATCCCATACTATTTACTTTAAGCTGATGTAATACAGAAGCTACACTTTGCTCTGAGCAGATAGAAAAGTGGAGAATCTTGCTCAAACATGTATTGTGTTTTTTTCTCTCCCTCTTTAGATGTTTTGGCTGACAATGGTCGTCTTACTTTAACTGGGGATGTTATTAACGGTTTCAGCAAGATGATGAGTGCACACCGTGGAGAGGTGATCTGCTCCGTCACTACTGCGCAGGTATGAAATGGGTGTATATGCAAGATATGTTCATACATTATTTTTTTCAGATACTGAAAACAGGTCACATCACTTAAGCAATATTTGCTGCTGTATATATCATTTATTTTATCAATTGCAGTATTATTGATTTAGACATATTGTACCTTCATAATGAATGTTTATCCATTGCAGCCTTTGGATGAAGCTAATCTCTCCGAGCTGAAAGTAGCTCTTAAAGGCTTTCTTCAGAAGGGTGAGACTATCAAGCTGGAAACAAAGGTACAACTCTAATGCACAGTCCCAGAAATCTGCACATAACCATCTTGCTGATGAATTTCATCTTCAGGGGAAAACTCTTTTTGTGCACTAGTCAATTCTAAGATGTGGAGTTAATTTTCTTGCATAACATGTCTTATCTCAGACTGGTGAGATAATGTTTAAGCGCACAAATGTAACAATTTGTATAATTTACATAGTGAAGCAAATATTTTCTGGAAACTTTCATTAAAGAAATACGAATTTAAAAATGTACATAATCAACTAGAGGAGTTTGTATTATGATTGGCTGTAAGATGAACATTTAAATAGTGAATTCCAGGAAATGGAAAAGCATCTTACATCTTTTTTTCCCCGCAAGGCTCTGAGATGTTGACAAGTTAAAATGTTCATAGATTAAAAACCAATGTCCATTGTGTCCTCTGCAAAAGCCTTTAATTGTATATCAAAGAGATTTTAAACTCGGCACAATCCACTATTTTAATTCCTCCCCCCCCCCCCCAAAAAAAAAATAAAAAAAAATGGAAACTTGTGAAACAAGAAATCATTGTCTTGTAAGGGGAAGTCTCGTGTTCATATGTGTTGGCTAACAATCGACCTGTCTCTTCACAGTCGGATCCTTCCATCCTGGGGGGCATGATCGTCAGCATTGGAGACAAGTACGTGGACATGTCCACCAAAACAAAGATCCAGAAGCTGACCAAGCTCATCAAGGAAACTTAGTCCTGTGGACTTAATTTTGCAAAGACGACCATTGGCGAAGGGGAAACTTTGAAAATTGTAGATTTTGACCTGTTCCAGCACTGTTGTTGCCCTATAAATCCAGTGTTTGTGCTTAAAATGTTAATAAAAACAAAAAAAAATCGATCGCTGATGTTTGTTGTCTTTGTAAAGCACATATACACAGCTTCCATTATACTGACCAGTGATCTCAAGGCCAGATTAGTTGATACATTGTCATTACTACATTTTAATAAATGTACAGTTGGTTCAAGACAGTGTGTCAGTTACATAGTTACCGCTGTGCTGTTGATACAATTTTGGTTCCATGGCTACCACAGTTCCATGCTTCACTACTAGATACATTTTTGATACTTTTCCGATTCTACAGAAACCCATTACGTCACACGAATCAGTCCCTACGTTTCTTGAACGCTTTTATTGCGCATGCGCAGTGGTGTCTGCTGGTTTAATTTTTTTTCCTTTTCTTTTTTTTTCTGGGTGAAAATGGCTGCCACTCTCATCCAAACCTCTGCGTAGAGGATTAACTGAGCGTTGAAATATGCAGCAGACCCGCTTCGAGACAACACTCGCAGACGCCAGGGCGTAGTTTGTGCAGCGCCTTCACAAAGATGTTGTGGCCGTCAGGGAGAGGAAGTGTAGACGAGTCGAAATTAACCCTTTCCACTCCAACGTCCACCAACAAATGAGGTACGAACTGTTCATCTTTCGCTCTTTGAGTAGTTCGGCGATCTAGTAATCCAGTAATCATTTAAATTTATTGTTATGCATGCCGTGCATTTTTGCAAACTATGACTCTGTTTGAACATGTTTATTTCGGACATCACTTATCTTTGTTTGTTTTGTGTTGCAGTGGTAAAAAGGCCTGTTTGAGCCACTAGAAATCAGCTACTAAAAACTGGATTGTCAGTAAAACACGTGGCTTTTCTAGCTCATGTATTTCTATGTACCCCAACAGAAAATGATGCACCAAGTGACCACCAGCAGCAGTGACTATTGCATGAGTGCACTAACAGAGGACTGTCATCCAGGCAGCCACTTTGATATATGTAGTACACAGTCCAACAAATTCTACCCCTCTCCGACAAACCCTGGTTTGCAGCTGTCCCTCGCCGGCCTTGCCCCTTTGCCACAGGGCATGCACAAAGCCATGGCGTGCCAGTTACAAGACACCCAGAATGACTTCCAGCCACAGGCTGTGAGAATCAGAGCCGGTGAAGCTCTAGGACCTGAGGGCTCTAAGAGAAAGAAGGGCACAGCGAAGTCAGGGCGGAGAGGGAGGCCATCGGGGACCACAAAGTTAGCTGGGTACCGTACAAGTACTGGACGTCCACTTGGGACAACTAGAGCAGCCGGTTTCAAGACAAGCCCAGGTAGGCCCCTTGGAACCACCAAAGCTGCAGGATATAAGGTGAGCCCTGGGAGACCACCTGGCAGCATCAAGAGCCTCACTCGCCTCAAGAAGCTAGAATTCGGATGTGACGGCACCAGCAAGCTGGACTTTAGCAACTGCAGTGCTCCCAAGAAGCTGGACTTCACTAGCTGTGATGTTTCATCTTTTCCATACACCATGATGGAGAAAAGAGAACTTTGTGAGCACGGTAGCAATAAAGTGGATGAAACCACAGAGATAAATTCTGCAGCTGCTTCCCCAGTGTTTGAAAAACATTTGGTTGCATGAAGAAGAGGACTAGAAGGAATTGTGGCATTTCATGTATGCTGGGAGAAAAAGTTGTTTGTTTTATCATTTACTGTGGTTCTAAGTTTTCATTGTACAGTGATTGGCATTCTCATCATCCTTTCCTAATAAACAGCTGAATCACAAATATGTTGCTCCAGTGTGGCAGAGGTGCATGCACATGAAATGACACCAGTCAGTATAGTTAGTGGTTCAGACCTCAGTAACCCTGATGTATTCCTCTGAATTGTGACATGTTCTCTTACTCTGTTCTAAGACATGAATATGTTTGTTTGTGTGACATTTTCTACATGCATATACATTTTAGAACAAAAAAAATTTAATGAAACCAAATCTTTCCCGAGCATAAATATGTAACCATGTAGTCGTCCTTTGTGTTTTGTCCGCTTGTCTATTATGTGGTTTATTTTGTGATACAATTCAGGAAAGCAGGAGCCCTGCAGTACGTTTTTATTGACTCAAACTCGTAAAGCTTAAAGCATAATACCCCCTTTGTTTCTGCGCTTTGTAAATATAGTTTGCATCATGTATTGTAACAGCCTGTTTCCATATCCACAGTCACTCGATAAGCACTCCCACTTGTGCATGTATGTTAGACTGATCAGTAGAGGGGGAAACGACTAATGCTTTGTGGCATATGTAATAACAATAATGATTTCCTGTATGTGAAACCAAAATAAAAGAAAGAAATCGTCTTTTTCACAGTTTCCTGTCACTTGTAATTCTTGCTCTGGACACAAGGGGGCTTGAGTCCTGTGACATGACACTCACTTTATCATAATACCTTTATTTACACCTTGTTAGACTAATTTAGGGCGTACCGACGTTTATGATCTTACTTTTTGGGCGTGTTCTTACCAGGTACGTGACAGAAGAAGAGGTTAAAAAAACTATAGGTCATGTTTTTTTGGGTGAAGCCGCCATGATGTGAGCTGCGTCTTCAATCTTTGTGTTCTGTACATGATAATTCACCAAAATATAGAAGTGCACCGCCTTTGGAGACATAAACATACCACAGTGTATGATATTAAACATTTTAAAAGCCGGCAGAGGGTAGCTGCTCTGCTGACAAGTCGGCATGTAACTGCACGCTCTTTGATCTGAGGACTGGCCCACTGCAGCGAGCCTTTTGTGCTTCTCTGTTTCAGTTTGCGCGTTTGTGGATCTGCTTCAGTTAGAGCAACAAGACACGCAACAAACCATCAAAGTTACGTGCCGGCGGGCTGAAAACGGACGCCGACAGATTTTTTTTAATCACAGGAAACCAAAAGAAAGAAACCCGTTCATATGCTCAATGCCTCAACTCTCGATCGTGCTTTCCTGAGCGCCTGGCGGCCTGTTTCCTCATGTCAGCGCTCCGTGGAGAGCCAACATGGCGCGCGGAGAGTGTGATTTGACCGGAAAGGCCGTGTGGTTATTATCGGTGTGCAGTCTTTTTTTTTCTTCTTTCCTATATGGTCGATCTTTCTCCTCCTACACACACACAGGCACACACACCCGCACACAGGCCTGCATCAACTAGGAAAGTTAAACAATAGGACTGAAGGTGGAGGGGGGTTACAGCAGAAACGGGACAAACTACTTAGAAATCCGTTGCCTTCATTTACGATTACTACATACCAATAACTACTGCAAACTTCACCTGGGTGTGCACGCGTGTGAGCGTGCGTGTTTGTCGTGCGTCCGTGCTCGCCAGTGTGTGCACGCGTGCACGCGGAGGGTGAGTGTCACGGCCCTCTACAGACGGGGGGTTGGGTAGCATTGCGGATTGGTTACTGCTCACCAACACACAGCCTGGGCTTGTTTTAACATAACCAGGGGCACATCGACAAGCAGGCAAAAAATAATAATAATAACCATGTAGTAAATAAACTGCTGTGGCTGTTACAGGACCGGTTGTGGCTCACTGAAGACGTTGCGGCGTAATGGAGCAGTCGGCTGTTATTTTTTATTTAAGGTGACATTTTTTAAGAGGGCCGACGCTGATGAAGCGAGAATGAGAGCCGTGCCTTGGCCTACTACTAGTGCTGCTGCAGCTGGGATTGTGGAGATCTGCTTTCACAAACCGAGAGAAACACTCGCCTGGTGCCACATTATCAAAGAGCAGCTGCTGGCTTCGCGATGACCGACCTCCAAACGGTGGGTTTTTCGCCTTTTTTTCCACGTGTTGATAGTGCGGTGAACTTGTAGTGCCGATCAGACCTTTTTTTCGTGAGTTAATAGTAGCTTCCTATGTCGGTGTGCGGCTGTAGCTTGTTTGTGTGAGCCACTGACTGTTTCTGTGATGGCTCAGTGTCACCTCCTCTACTACAGCTTCAGCGCTCCTCCATTGACTGTACAAGTCAGCGATCGCCGGGGTGACCCACATTTAGCAGACAAAGCGCTGTTATTTTCTAATAGTTTGTGAATGAAGTGTGTGAGCACGGTTGTTTTCTGTGTTTTGTCTTGTGCCGTACGACTGGCCTCTAGAATGGAGGCCATGCAATGTCGGCTTATCGGCGTGTGTGTGTGTGTGTGTGTGTGGGTGCCTGTGTATGTGTGTGTACGCGCGCACTGGCCATGGCTGGACCTTCATGGATATGCTTCTGATATTTATCACTGTAAAAGCCACTTTGTTTACACATCTCTATAAGCACACAGGAGTGTATTTAGAGAGAAACTTCTATGGCACGTTTACCTTGTCTAACCCTGCCTGTGTTTCATTTGACAGGATGTAGGCATGACAACATGAAGCAGTCATACAGACCGGGTCTTAGGGTAGGCTCAGTGTTTGGCTCAGGCCCGCCAGAGCTGAGGCCCCACAATGGCCCTGTGAGCACTTCCTATGGAAACCAATGTGGCATTGTGAAGCGAGGATCAGACCAGTCATCAACTGTGCAGCTGCCATCCTCCAGCCTCAAACAACCCGCTTTACTAGGGTACAATCAGACTAACCGATCTAAAAGCTACAGTTCTTTGAGGAGGCCCTACGACCTGAACACTGCGATCAACAAACCTGACCCAGAAAGGGACCTTCATCCTCGGAACAACTTGCTCTGTGCAAGCCCAATTAGCGACGACGACGATGATGAGTTTGAGGCGCCAACTGTCCAGTTGCCTCCTTCTCCAGGCAACAATGACATGGAGCCTGTTGGGACTCTGCCGGACATGAGCAGAAATGGTTTCTTCCTACACAGTCCTGACAGCTTCGAGCGCTGTTCCCCCATTCCAAACGGATGCCTGCATTTTGAGTCCACACTATTCGACAGCAGCGATGTAAAGGGGGACGATGAGGAGGGGGACAGCGGCGAGGAACTCGCGCCTTTTGGCCACTCCCCACAGCCGAGTCAGGATCGAACTGTTACAGAGTGTAAGACCACATGCGACTCAGGGGTGGATAAAAGAACATACAAACCTACAGTCTTTAATCTAATGTCCAAAACTATATCTGAGCTCAACCCTACACTAAGCCCCAGCGCGCTGCCAGACATCTCCATGAGAGATGGGTGGAGTTTGGGTGAGGAATCTGACAGTGATGGTGAACTTCTCTCCCCTGTTGACCCAGGACTTATCTCACCAGGTGGCACCAACTCTAATGTGAGTATAAAACTCTTGAGATACAAACTTTGCAACTTCTGTACAACCAAATCCACACAAGTTTATGTGGCTATGTTATAATCAAGCATAGCTTAACTACCCTGAGCCACCAATATGCACGTACGCCATCTTCCAAGCTTTAAAATTTGACCCAAAAGAGTAGAAAACAGTTCAAATCTGAGGCCAGCAAAGCAATCAATGTGATGTTTTGTCATCACCATTAGAATTCAAAAGCGGATATCATCTATTCTTGTCATTATACGTGACAAGAATTTTGATTTGATACATGCAGCATTATTTTTTTTTCTGTATCACTTATTATTGTGTTTTTCTTGTAATGATTAGTCCAACAGCCCAAAGAAAAGGCCTCTTCCTGCAGTGAAATACTTGGAAGGGGATTTGGTGTGGGCAAAATTCAACAGACGGCCGTGGTGGCCCTGTCAGGTCACAAGCGACCTGGACCAGGGGATTCACACTAAGATGAAAGGTGAGATTTGATGTAAATACTGATTATTTGACACAAATCCGTTTCACACAACTTGACTGTTTTGTTGATAGTTTGTTGACGGCATTGTAGTGTGTGTCAAAGTTCACACTGCTCTTTCTTCTTTTTAAAAAAACATTTTGATCCAGTTCCCAGTCCTCGTCCTTGCCGGATGTATTTCTTGGAAACGATTGGCGAGATTATAGAGTCTTCCTGGGTCCCAGGGAACGTTATTCTACCTTTTGAAGGAGGCCATCAGTTTGAAGACCTTCCTGTTCTCAGGCGGCGAGGGAAGCAGAAGGAGAAAGACTACAAGTATACGGTATAATTTGTGAAGTGAATCTTTGAAAATCTTTTGTTTGCTCACTGTGAACAATATTTCAGTAACTATATTACTTCTCTGCAGATACCCAAAAGTTTGCTGACTGCGTGGAAAGTCAGTGTAGCAGAAGCTGAGTATCTGCTCCCGGGTCGGCAAAGGAAAAGTGAAACTGTGCTGTCAGTGTCGGTCAAAGGAGATGAACGTATACCCAGCCCGCTCCCTAATGAGAAGGGACACAAGAGCCCGTCTGTCTCTGTGGACTCCAGTGAACCTCCAGCATCTTCTACAGCCTCCAATGGAAAAGAGCACCATCTCATCAAAAACTCTACAAATCAAGGCAATAACAATAAAGCTCAGAAGAAGAAAAAGAAGTGTCTGTCAGACATATTTGGTCATATAGTTAGTGGATCAAAGGAATCCTCCACAGGCCAGCTTCACACAGCACCGCGTGCACTGAAAGAAGAGCCGAAGGACTCGCCTTATGCTGACCTGGATTCAGTTCCGATGCTGCATCGACCGAAACGCACAGCGCTGTCTCCAGTACACAGTATAGAGGTCCAAAGAGAAAAAAGTTCAACAAAGGCTAAAAAGAGTACAGAAAAAGTGAGCCGGGGTGCAGACTCATTTAGCAGCTTAAAAAACAAAAGGACATCAAAAAACACAAATTCTGGCCAGAGGTTGGACAGCTGTGTTGAAAGTGAAAAGACCTCGGTGGACCTTCCTGCCAGCAGTGGCCTGATGACGA